AATTTTTTTAAAAAAAGTCGGGATGTTTGTAAGTCGAGGTACCGCTGTACCAAATATGAGTTTGCAAGCCGGGCCCTTGAGAACAGGACATTTTGGAGATCACTCAATCATAGGGATGCCCTAGGCCAGAGGCAAGTTGATGGCAGGTAACAACGGGTGATATGAACTTTCTTAACCTTTGTTTCCTAGCTAATAATATTCTTTTCTTCTGTGGATTTCGGGATGTTTGTAAGTCGAGGTACCGCTGTACCAAATATGAGTTTGCAAGCCGGGCCCTTGAGAACAGGACATTTTGGAGATCACTCAATCATAGGGATGCCCTAGGCCAGAGGCAAGTTGATGGCAGGTAACAACGGGTGATATGAACTTTCTTAACCTTTGTTTCCTAGCTAATAATATTCTTTTCTTCTGTGGATTTTGGATGGTCTCAGAACAGGCTTACTCCTGCATAATTCAATCCTTCTTACTTGTGTATAGATCTTTCACAAGCATTTCAACTTTTGTACATGAACTTCAGTGCTGCAATGGAGATAATTGATAGTGATGCTCATAAGAAAAGGTGGATTTTGGATGCTCTGCCATGACTTACTGGTGGAGCCAGAGGATGGCGCTTCAAAGCAATGGTGTCAGGAATTGATCTGTTTTTCAGACACTTTTTTCTTTTGTTCTTCTTTTGTTCTGCTTTCCTGGTGTTAAAGTTGTCTTTGTTTCCTTTGACTTTGTGATCTGTTGGTGCTACATCAGACAATTACCGCAGCAAGAGTATTTATAATCTTTTGTTAGCAAGATACCCGAAGTCTACCTTGAATCTTTACTTCTTCTTGAAAATCATAACTGTAGAAATTACAAAATATCAAGAGGTCTCAAACACACTCCACTCATCCAATACTCACACCGACCCTGAAGTCCCCCAGTCAATTGATGAAACGTTCTTTGTCGCCTAACTGTGATCAAGCGTAGAGATGAAGCATGGATGTGACGGTTGCAGCACTGTCTTTTATATCAACTAGTAAACAAGATCTCATGATTGTTTACATTTCTTTCAGTTCCTGTTTCCAACACTCTTTTGGCCTGAAACAGGTCTTGTCTGAAACACCAGTCATCCTGTTGTCAAGCATTAAATGACAGGTTTCCTTTCTTGCTTGCTTGCCTTGCATATTTCTCATGGCCATGTTGACCACTCCCATTCCCTGTGGGTGATCACGGAACAAAGGAAGGCTAATTGGCTTAGAGAAAGAACAAAAGAGTTGACCACAGATCTCTGAGCCAGTGGAGCCTAAAGGCAACGCCCTGAGAGCTCCCTTTATTGACTTAGCATGAGTTCCATAGTATGTTGTGAGAATTCGGATAGGATACTAGTTACCTAATCATAAACAGGATTGGCTGAAGAAACTCTTTAATCTTATGCTCTACCTCTAAGCGAAAGGGGAGAATGAGGGGTTTCCCCGCCTACTGGCAGCTGCCACTTCCTGCCAAGTGTATGTGGATGTCATTGGAACAGAATGCACCTACAACCTTTAAGCAGAAGTTCCCCACAATTCCCATAAGTCCATTCAATACTCCATTTTCTCTCCCTTTATTGCAGAGTCTATTTGGAACACATTTGCATGGTTACATGCTACCATACCAGACAAGTGTGCGTGCAACGGAGTCCCTTAGTATCAAATTTGGCCACCAAATGTAATTTCATTTTGTTTTTATTAAGAACGTGCCATATTTATAAATTTAATATTCAGAATGGGACGAACCAGAAATTTAAGGAATAGGAATGCTGGAAAAAGTGAAACTGGCAGAGTTGTCTATTCAATAAGTGAGACTTCCTTGAATCACAATTTTATGGTAAACTCTTTCCCCCAGTCGTCCTTCCTCTCTTCTAAGGCTGAAAGATAC